CAATTATATAGTGCTCTTAAATACTTGGAGCAGTAATACTATCTCAGAAGATTACATAATTGCTTGCAACTGCGTGGAATAAGTTCCACTGCATTTATACATAGCCATATATAGCAGTATAATTTTAAGATTTGGAATGACCAAAGATTGACATTTAATTTTAATGCCAGAAGCAATATGTTTAATAAAATTTTATAAAGTGTTCTGGAGAGAAGAGTCCTCTTTATTCTTCATGTGAATTTGAAAATTACAAAATACCTATTCAAATTGTTACTGATGGAAGCAAAAGCTTTTTAAAAAAAATGTAAGGAAGTTTTGATAGAAGAAGGTCTTGGTATTGATAGTTTGCTTTTTGCTTCTAGAAAGTAGAAAATTGCTGGCCATTGTGTTTTTTAAAAAGTATTAATGTTAGCCTAAAATGAGAAAAAAGGTAAACAAATAAGAAACTATCACAGTGATTACTTCATTTTTTGTTTGAAATTAATTTTAATTAAGATGAAGTAAAATAGATGGTTTCCAAATAATGAATTCATTTTTTTAAATCAGTGCTGTAAGTGAATTAAAAGCAATGTTGATAACTATAATTCTGGAAACATTTGGTAGTACAATGTCTCTCAACATTGTTGGAGATTAGTGTTGATTTGGGCTCTACTTGGTAATAGGAAGAGCTATTGTATTCTTTTCTCCATACATAATTGTTAAGAAGATAATGTCTTTAAAACATTTAATATTAAAAATTGGCAATATATTTTGCTGTTTAGTGTTTTCAAATACATGGTTTAAAAAAGTATGGTATTTTATCTCCAAAAAGTAATATTAGTTAAAGAAAAGTTGAGTGTTGTCTCTACCCTTGATCATGAATCATAACAGGACTTATCCTTTCCAAACTAGCTATGTAAAAAATGTTAGTCATTTAGGCCCTTACCAACTCTTACTCTCATTTTCCACAAATTTTTGTACACTCAAATCCAAGTGTTTCCAGTTCTAAATGTACTCTCTCGGATTGAAAAAAATTACCAGCTACAATTGCTGAACAGTCTTTTGCTCATCTTACAGACATTCCTGTTCCTTCTGTGATTTATAAGAACACTTAAGAAACTGTGACATAATAATTGTGCAAGACAATTGTAATGAAAATGTAAAATATTTTAGAATCTAGATAGTTTATTACTCTTCTAGATTTATCTGGAAGTTGCATCATGGCAACAGGACTTCTTTTCTTATTGGTTTTCTTGTTGGTACTCTTCTAGAGATATACATGTGAACAGTAATAGGCCAGTTCATGAGAATGTATTTCTACCAAATCACCAGTACACTCCAAGTGACAAAGTATAATTATTTACAGAATTGGGTCTAACATTTAAGATTTTTTTCCACTCTGGAAAAAATCTGTCCTAATATTAACCAGTGTGGATGGAAAAATGTAGGCGTGAGGTGGGGTGGGGTGAGAGTTTGAAAGTCAGGTTCTGAAATTTCTACCCTTGTAATGTTTTTGACTAATGTTTTTGACTATGACTGTAATTAATTAGTTGGGTCACAATCATTCAGCATGTAATTGCTTGCCAGATATCTTGCAAAATATAACTTGCTTACAATTAATATCCACAATTTCAACTTCTCTTCAGCAAATGACTTTACAAAGTATTTCTCTGCTACGGCTGCGAACTGAACTTCAGCTAGAAGCAGGCTTTCAAAATAATTGCTCACAAGTTAAAGATGGAATTACGTATCAGCAGAAAATATAAAATACTGCCAAATTGTAAATTCAAGGCCAATTATGATTTTATGTTCATTTTGTTCTTTTTACTGTTTTCACTGTTATCTTGGCCATAAAGTTATTATGAAAAAAAAGAGTATTTGTTGGTCAATATAACTTGACAGGGAACAAACAATTGCAAGGTGGTAATGTTGCAAGTGGCAAAATATTAGATCAAAATGAACATTTTTATCGAATATTTACTGAAAACGGATAATGGAAATATTTCAAGACATATAAATGATGGTAGAACTATATGGGCAGTTTGTCGCTTGCTGTGCAAAATGAATGTTTATCAGAAAAAGTTAAAATTCTGAGCGATAACCCATTTCATTATTTGTGAGTCAGGTATTTCAGAAGAATCATAAAACTAAAATGAAATGCAGCGGGATTGGAGACTGAATTGATGTTGAATGAAGGCAGACTGATGGAGCAATCAAAAAGAATCTGTTGAAGTGATTTGGTCATAAAGAGAATGAATGAGGATTGAATTACCCACATGCATATTGAGAGGAAGGGGAAGACTGATAAATCATGCGTGGATGAGTTGAACAGATCCTTAAAAAGCGAGAACTGAGTGTTGCAATGTATAAATTGATATTTGGAGATAATGGAAATAAGAGTTGATTGATAGAAATATATTGTTTTGCCAAGTGCCAGGGCAGTGATTAGATACCCACTCAATTGGTCCTTTTGGATCTAGAAACAATAAAGCACAAGGAGTTTTCAAGCTTTATTATTTAACTGTAGCAGGCATATTAAACAAAAAACATATGAAAGCATAAAATACCAAACAAGATTCTCTCCCTTTAGCTGCTGGGAGCTCATTTTCAAGCAGCAGAGAGACCCCAATTGGCCATAGTACATAGCACTGAGCATTCAAGCCTATGCAGAGTATAAAACTTCATGGACAGTTTCATGACTTTTATTACAACCTGGCACTAAGACTTCATGACCCTGCTTCCATGGTCTGCAATGCAATGACACTTGTAGAATGTTCTTAATGAAGGGAAAAACAAAATGTCTCACCAAACTCCTCAAAATAGAATGGTCTTCCCCATTGCCACTACATATATAGAAAAGTGCAAGTAGCCTTTGACTTACAATAGTTCATTTAGTATCCATTCAAAGTTACAATGGCACAAAAAAAAAGCAAACTAATGACTGTTTTTCATGTTTACGACCATTGCAGTATCCCTGTGGTCACGTGATCTAAATTCAGTTACTTGGCAATGGGTGCATATTTATGACAATTGCAGTGTCCTGGAGTCACGTGATCACCATTTGCAACTTTCTGAGAAGCAAAGTGAATGGGGAAGCCACAACCATGTTACTAACTTACTAACTGTGTCAAAATGGGACAGAACTCCATTACATTGCATTACTCACTTACATGAGGAAAGAAACAATTGTTTTGCTTAGCAACAGAAATTCTGGGCTCAATTGTGGCCGTAGGTCGAGAACTACCTGTATATTAAATATAATAGGATTGATGTAAAGTAGATTTAGCCAAATGTCTCTCTATGTTTATCACATTCCTTAGGTTTTTTTTTTAATTTATTAATTTTATGGTTCTGTATGCAGTTACAGTTTGAGAGATTAGGGTTTCCTGCCTAAGCAGGGGGTTGGACTAGAAAACCTCCAAATTCTATTCTATTTTCTATTCTATTCTATTTTCTAGATCTAAATCCTTCTCTTGTTCCCCTGATTAAGACAGTTACAATATTCAACAATGCAGTGAAAGAACTGCATTTTTTTTTTTTAAAAGAACATGGTTAAATTGAAAAGCCTGTATTGGTAAATTCCAACACACTCTATAGTGATCTACACAGAGTTTGTTTTATATTAATACAGAATTCAGCAGCCAGGTTCATCTAAGCTCAGTTAGTCTAAATTATACCAATTACACAGCTGGTACTATGTATGTAGGCCATTTTTTATGAATGAGATACAAAGTTTCCATTATTGCTTTGAAAGCTCTGCATAAATTGAAACAATGCCTTCTTTTATATGAAACCCCCTACTGAGGGTCAACTGGGGAGTTCATCTACTGATTCTGTGAGAGTATCCTTTGATCACTTGCAAGCGAGTTTTTTTTTTGCTATCCCATGTCCCGAAAATAGTATGTTTCCCAAATCTTCATATCTCTAAACGCAGCAGCTTTAAAAAGCTCTTAAAAGCACATATTTAAAAAGATTTTTTTCTGCTATCCTCTTGTTGTATTGTGTTTTTGTTTGATTATGTAAATACACTGAGGAGCATAGGGTAGGCTGCAGATGGGCCATGCCAGCTTATGTGACCAAGAGTGCTTAAGATAAAGCAGTTGGCTGCCAAATTGCTTCTATCTTTGGATGGTATTGAGGTATTTTTTTTTCTGTATATCTCCTATCTAGATCTGGCCCATTTTCAAACTCAATATTTATTTTGTCAGCTTGTTCTCCACCACCAAAGTTAGTCTCAGTTCATCCTGATTTTGGACAGATATCCTATTGATAGGCAGAGAGAGTCCTCTATATGTAATACGGTATATTTCCAAGATTTTTATGGGAATCAAAATGAAATTTCGGCCTTTAGGAGCTAAATGTATAGAAAGATTTTTAATTTGTATTTTATTTTGTGGTATTGTTGTTGCTGAAATGTCAAGATATTTAAAATTGTTTATTATAATATGTTCTGTTTTGCACACATTAATGAAATTTAATAGTATGTTCTATTAAAACTTCTATTAAAACTTCTCTTTGAGGCTTCTTTTAAAGTAAAAGCAGATAAAAACAAATAAATAAAACATCTAACACTGGAAATAAAAATATGTTTTAACAGCCAGTTAATAATTAGGCTGGAAGCATATAAAGTACAAATTCTGAAATTATGTTTTCAATGTAGTAAAACCCTTGCATTTTTATTCAGAAGAAAACTCCCATGATTAAAGGAATTTACAGCCAGGTAAGGGTAGATGAAGTTACAGCATTAAATCATATAAATGAAGCTTTATGATACTCACCTACATATTTATTAAATGATATTTAAATATATTTATCTGGTTTATGAATTACATATTGTTCATGTATAGAATAGTAGATGTATAGAGTTATGGCTATATCTGAAGGAGAACAAGCTCAGTTTATAGTTAATATTTCTTGATTATACATGAAATGATCAAGAATATCTACACTGTGGAAAATTCTACTTTGTTATATTAACCAACTCTTTTCTGTTTTGTTTTGGGGTTTTTTTTGTTCCAAAGCTCAAGAGTGCTCAGAGTGTCGTATGGTGCTGTCCAATCCCACAGGAATTTTTACCTCTCCTTGCTTCCCTAATAATTATCCCAACAATCAAGCATGCAAGTGGACCATCAGGGCTCCTTCTGGATACATCATTCAGACGACATTTGTTGATTTTGATATTGAAGAAGCTTCTGGTTGCAAATACGATCATGTGTCTTTGGACACTGGAGACAAAAAAGATTCCTATTGTGGTATGACTGCCAAAGGTTTATCATTTAACTCATCTAGGAATGAAATGATTGTATCTTTTACAAGTGACTTTAGCATTCAAAAAAAAGGCTTCAGTGCCACTTATACTCGAAGTAAGTATACACTTCTTGCTGTTTCCAATCTGTAAACTATATGTAAACTTCTGAGACTGTGATTTGATAATATTTATTTGATAGTAAAAGTAAAATGTTACTATTTAGCTAGGATAGGTAAGTTATTCATCCATTGACTTAAATCCATTGGAGTTCTCTTACTTAAACAAATTGTGTTGCACAGCAGATAAAGAGATATGGTTCTTTATTCAGATCTCCTCTAGGTCATGAAGTCAATAAGAGGGTTTCAAGTTTGCAACTCTCTGTGTATTCCTGTACTTCAAGGATATATGCATACGTGATATGGAAAATAATATGATCTATGTTATAGGGTTACTGTATTGCAAAATAGAGCACCATATGAGCTGCAAAACTCTAGATGAGAAGCAGATGGCGTAGTGGTGGGATTCAATTTTTTTTACTACCGGTTCTGTGGGCATGGCTTGATGGAAGTGGCATGGTTTGGTGGGCATGGCAGGGGAAGGATACTGTAAAATCTCCATTCCCTCCCCACTCCAGGGGAAGGATAGTGCAAAATCCCCATGTCCTCCAGATCAGCTGGGACTCGGGAGGCAGAGAATAGATGTGGATGGGGCCAGTCAGAGATGGTATTTACCGGTTCTCTGAACTACTTAAAATTTCCGCTACCGGTTCTCCAGAACTGGTCCGAACCTGCTGAATACCAGCTCTGAAATGGCAACAAGACAAACCAAATATCTACTGGTAATTCTTGGTTGCCCTCTAGTGGTTGTCTAAATCCTGTTATTAATTTTATGTTAATACAGTAGGTAGTCCTCAACTTACCATTTGAAGTTATAATGGCATTGAAAAGTGAAACTGATTCTCACACTTACAACTGTCATAACATCCCCATGATCACATGTTCAAATTTTGGGCACTTGGCAACTGGTAAACATTCACAATGGTTGCAATGTCCCAGGTTCATGTAATCACCATTTGCGACCTTCCCAGTCAGCGTCTGACAAATGATAAATAGATAAGGCAGGATTTGCTTAACAACCATGTAATTCACTGAACAACTACAGTTGTTTAACAACCGTGGCAAAAAAAAGGTCATAAAATCAGGTGTGACTCACTTAATTGCCTTGCTTAGCAATGGAAATTCTGATTCCAATTGTGGTTTTAAGGCAAGGACTACTTTCATATACAGTATATCCTGCAATGTACTATGAGAATATAATATGTGCTGCTGAGTAAGAAAATAGGAATGCAGTGGATTTCCTTAAGCTTTTTAATTGCACATCAAAACCTTTCAAAAGTAAGATGATATAAAAAAATTTCTTTAAAAATGCTTGGAGGAAATTAGTCATCAGGAAATCAGATTAATGAAATAAGACTGCATATCACTTTTTCATTAATGAAATAAGACTTCTGTTTCACTAAGTAAAAATTAAACCCTAGTTATAATTAAATAAAAAGCTACCCCATAGCAACAAATTAGCCTCATTGATCTAATTTAAAATAGCTTTTGATTAGCTGGGCCTGTAGCCATTCCCACAATGTGGTATAAAAGCTCCATTAATTGCTTTTTTAATAGACCTTTTCAGCTTTTCAAGGAAAATGTAAATTGTACACCACGGGGTGAAAAATGTATCTATGTTTGGTTGCATATTGAGATTAGTTACTTTTTAATACACATTTACCATTTACAAATATAGCAAGGTATAAAAATTACTTGATGGCACATAATAAAAATGTTACCGATATTGCTTGAAAAGGAATATCAATAGCAGGAATTCCTCAAAAAGTTTAAACATTTTTATATCAGGAGAGAAATGTGTTGCTAATTTTGACACTATGTTTCTTGTGAAATTACTGACAGAATGCTTGTTCTTTCTCTCTTGAGTTGTTACTACAACTATTTACATCAGGTTACCATTGTTACATAACTGGATTTGTAAAGGCATTTTTTTCAGCTTTTCTTTTCTAAACTCTCTTCTCAGAATCAATATTCACTTTTGGTTTGCTTGTTTTGACAAACAGAATTCCAAAAAGTATTAACAGGCAAGAAATAGTTTCTTGTTCCTAAGGTAAATCATTCTCAGAACAAGTTAATTTACATGGTACCTAAATCAGAATAGCTTTTCTTTTTATCAGTAAAAATGTAGCAACAATACACAATTAAGAGCCGTGGTGGCACAGTATTAGAATGCAGTACTGCAGAATACTTCTGCTAACTGCCAGCTGCCAGCAGTCCAGCAGTTTGATTCTTACCAGCTCCAGGTTGACTCAGCCTTGCATCCTTCGGAGGTCGGTAAAATGAAGACCCAGATTATTGGGGAAAATATGGTGATTGTAAACACTTAGAGAAGGCTGTAAAGCATTATGAAGCAATATATAAGTCTAAGTGCTATTGCTATTAAGTGGTCTTTATGACTCCCCTCCCCCATAAGTTAAAGTAGTCACTTTCTTCTGCTTGATTATGTAGCTACATTTATAATATTTGTGGAGGAAGAAGTAGGATATTTATGCAGCTGTGTTTCCTATAGGAACTTTTAATTAATCTGTTAATATTTGTAACAAACACAATGTATATCAAATGGGATCAATGGAATCAATCACAAATGACTTCAGAATCATGTTTGGCAAGATAGATAGAAATGAATATGATTTTTAAGGATTAAACATTGGACAGCATTATGGCTAATATGCTTACTGCAAAATAAAGTTCAATTAAAATACTCAGATTCATTCCTAAGTATAGATGCAGAGGATATGGCAGCCAGATGTAACTACTGGTATATTTAGTAAGCCGTTTTGCGATGAAATGTGAATAGATGTATTCAACTGAAATTCAAAAGTTTGTAAACAAAGAGCTTTTATTTGTGAAATAACATGGCAGGGCACTCTCTGCACACTCTGAAAAAGATGTCTGGTATTAATTTCTTCAGTTTAATGTAGTTGTATAAAATAACCCATTGGGAGCAATGCATAAAGAAATGAAAGAGCTGTTTCAGGTTACTGGTTTCTGCTTTGTCTGGTACAAGTAAAACACGCCAAACAGTTTTTACAGGTAACTTACTCACATTTTGTAGGAATCAAATGGTCATATTATAAGTTAATTGACTACAATAATATCCCCACATATATTTCTGACTGATGAGTTTAATTATCCATTGATAAAAAGTATTGTATTACTTTTAATAAAAGTTGATGGTGGTTGATTCTGAAAATGTTTTCTGCCTATATTCTAGTTGCTGTATCTTTGAAGAATCAAAAGGTTGTCATTCCGCAATTTTTAGATTCTGAGTCTGTGTCTTTGGCAAATTCTATCCATGTCCCAGAACTTAATCAGTTTACCCTATGCTTTGAAGCAAGAGAAAACAACAGTAATAACTATGAATGGAAGGCTTTCTCCTACGGTGATTCATCTGTGGAATTCTTCAGTTTTGGCAAAACAGAAAAGGGGCACTTCATTTTTATCTCAGACTCACAGTGTTTTTTAAACGATGCTCTTGACATTGGTCCAGGTGACAACATTTTCACAGAAACATTTGAAGAGCTTTGCCTTGTGTGGGATAGCTCATCAGGCATAGTAGGGATAAATATTAAAGAGACATATAAAACAGTCCATTGCTTAGATACTTATGGAAAAGTGATTCCGGGTGATGGAAAATTGGTCCTGGGTTCTAACAGAGAAGACATAAACCCTCTACCTGGAGATATGTACAACTTCCGGCTTTGGAATTTTACAATGAATTCCCAATCACTTTTCAATCTCACCTGTGATGACAAAGGTAACATTATTGACTGGGAAAATGATTTCTGGAGTATTCCAACAACATTTCTAAAAGCGGAGAACAACTTGAGTTGTGGTGAGTATCTTTTTTAAATTTAGGCTTTTCTTTTCAGCATAGCTTTTAAAATGATTTAGAAAAGTTTCAAAAAGAAACTTTGTTTATAGTGAAAATGACCCCCATACTCCATTTTCTCTAACTTGTTTGGCTATAACAGTGATGGCGAACCTTTTTTGTCTCGCGTGCCATAAGGGGGGAATGCAGGGGGGTCGTGCGTGGGCGTGCCACACCCATAATGCAATGCACGATTCCCCCAGTGCGCATGCAAGCATGAGGTGCTCCCCCCATTTTTGTATGCTTTTTTTTCGCCCTCCCCAGGCTCCAGAGGCTTTAAAGGAGCCTGGGGAGGGAGAAAACAGCTTCCCCCCCCCCCGGAGGCCCTGAAGCCTCCGGAGGACTAAAAATGACCCTACAAGCAAACCGTGTGCCCTGACAAATGGCTCAGCCTGTCACCTGTGGCACATGTGCCATAGGTTCGCCATCCCGCAGCTATAAGATTCATGCACCACAGTATTCTGTAGGTAACTTTTGTGAATTCAGAACCTCAGTAATGCGTTTATTTATTTATTCAATTTATATCCCATTGTTTTGTTCAGGAGCTTAAGGTGTTATGCAAAATATCCCTTTCTCTTATTTTCCCCCCAAATAACAACATGGTCAAGTAGCTGGGCTGAGAAACAGTGAGTGGCTGAAAGTTGCTCAATGAGTTTCCATGGCTGATCCTTAAAATCAGGATCTCTCCAGGACCAGTTCAGCCCCTAACCACTGCAGCACAAACTGATTTCAAGAGGTTTTTCAAATAGATTTTGTAATGAGCTGAATGCACAATGTTATAATTTTAACAATTATCAAATTGTTATATTTGATTTTTTATTAAAAAGTATTACACAGGCTACAATCAGTAACAAAAACTATGTAGCATTGTGATATTATGCTTCTCTTTACATTAATGATCTTAAACTAAATGTAGTCATTTATTTGTGTGCTACCCATTCGAAAATAAGTTATCGAAATAGAAACTAAGTTTATAAATAAGGATTTGTTTTTCTAAGCAATGAGTGTCTTGCTACCAGTCAAACTATCCATCTTATTAAAAAGCCTATAGAAGAGAGAATAAAATCACCCTTTCCCCAACTTATTTCATAAAGTACTGTGTATCTCTTAAACAGTTCTTTCCCCAGTTTTGATTAGATGGCATAGAGCTGTGTGGAGTAAAGTATAGAATGCAGAAATGTAGTCTTTTCAGACTAAAAATAAAGTTACTCCACACCTATCTTGATTAGACTTACTCCAATTCCAAATTGGATAAAAAGGCTAAGCCTTTGACCTGTAAATTTGAAGAACCCACAAAACCTCTCCATGCAAAAAAAAAGTTCTTCTATATTCATTTTAGGGACACAGTGGCTCAGGTGGCTAAAATGCTGAGTTTGTCGATCAGAAAGGTCAGCAGTTCAGCAGTTCGAATCTCTTGTGCTGGGTAATGGACTGAGCTCCCGTTACTTGTCCCAGCTTCTGCCAACCTAGCAGTTCGAAAGCATATAAAAATGCAAGTAGCAAAATAGGAACCACCTTTGTTGGGAAGATAACAGCGTTCCATGCGCCTTTGGCGTTTAGTCATGCCGGTCACATGACCATGGAAACGTCTTCGGACAGCGCTGCCTCTTCAGCTTTGAAACGGAGATGAGCAACCCTAGAGTCGGGAATGACTAGCACATATGTGTGAGGAAAACCTTTACCTTTATATTCATTTTAAGCTTGGAACTTACTACATTGGAGTCTTCAGAGGGCAGAGGGGCATTCACCATTTGAGGAATGTTTCATCATTAGAGAAATGCTTTTGAACATGGCATTTTGCAGAGGCATATCTAAAGAGGACAAGATGGCAGGCACATCAGTGTGAGCACAGCACTTTCCTTTCAAACGTGCATGCGGCACACACGGAAAAGGGACAGAAGTTCAGTTGCTCTGACCACCTGCTATTTTGCCTCTAGCAACCTGTGATTGCCATGGACAAATAGCAAAATAATACTTAACAATTTTAATAAAATAAACATCTTTGTGCTGTGTATTTTATCCTTAATCTATCTTGTACAATTGTTGTGATTGCAAAATTGGAGGGATTCTGACAGCAAGGCAGTATAAACATGCACCAGCTGAGGAAGAAGATGAAGTTGATGATACTTTTATAGCAGGATGAACATTTTATTTATTTCTTTATTCTCTTATAAGGGAAACTAATTAGATTAAAACATTCCTGTTCCCATCTACTTTTATTTTAATATATGCTAGATTTTTATTAAGGGTATATGCTGATCACATAACAGTAGGTATGATTAGATTCAGACTGTGATTCAATGATTTGAACAACACTTCAGTTAATCACTGACTCTGTTTCAAAAGTCATGTAATTCAGGTATGACACTAATCAAAATCACTGTTCAAGAATGCTCTCTTCTGATTGTCGTGGGCAATCAAAAAAGATTGAAAGATTTTTTAAAAAATTCTGAAGAATCAGATAGATAGAAGAGCCTCTATTAAGCAGATTATGTACAGTTTTCTTCAAATTGAGCTTTGTCCCTGGACTCAGTAAACAGAAATGACCTGTGATCCAATTTCTCTCCAGTCTAACTTAGTTTTTCAAGATTAGTCATGGTCAGCTAGACACTGCCACCCTGTTGAGTCAAAAATATGGGTCATGTGCCAAATTTTAGACATTTAGATCCAGTGGGGTAACTTTTCAATATAGAAGTTTTCAAAAGTGGGGGTGATTCTTCTTTTGCCGGTGAAAAGAAATGGGCTTTGTAAAGTTCCTTCACACATGATTAGATTAAAATAAAAAGGAATTTGCTTTCTTCTTCGGCTGTTTTAGTAAGTGATTTGTATCTTTCTGTTGTAGAGATGCTCCTAAGCAGGAAATCTTTTAAAAATTTCAGAAGGGCAAAGAAATTGTACGGAGTCCATATAACTTTAAAGTTTTATTGCTTTAGATGTCTACTTTGTAACAGAACTCACTCACAAAAGCTTTCAAGTATTTCATGCTTCATGGTTTATAGTAGATGATAAAACTCTTTTGAGACTAACCACTTTATTTAAGGCGTAACATTTTGTGGGCTGCAGTTAACTTCATCAAGCGCATAAGCTTGGTTTATGGGAAATTAAATACATAAGGATGAGGCAGATGGGGAAGGAGAAAGCAGGACAGGTCAGTTTATGGAGATGGGGTTCTTTGAGAGGCACATTACATGTACTACTGACATGATTCATCTCCTACAATATACAGTATAGACAAAATAGTGCATTTAAAAGGCAGCATTTAGCTTTTATGGTATGATTTTGAAAGCAATTTGCTGCAATGTGCAGAAAAAAAGTGATAACATAGGCTTCTGCTAGCAGAAAATACTATACTTCATAAACATCTATATAACAGTGGTTACCTAGTTTGGGTAATGAAACGTCTGCAAGAAGACAACCAAGTTCAGAAAGGACCCCTCATTTCAACCCTGAACTACAAATACTCTCCTTTATAAGAACATGTTTCATTCATAAAATGAGGATTTTGCTGTTTGACCCAGAACTTTTATGCATATCATCACAACCATTCTTGTTTACATGAAGAACAGTTACAATTTCATGTATACAGTACATACAAATAGCATCAGGAAGTAAGTATGGTTTTTTTTAAAGCTGAAAATCGTCAATTTCAAATTATATCCGCAGAAAGCGAGCCATTATTCTGAGGTACATCCAAGCCCACCTCCATAAATTGTGCCATCTGTGGTGAAAGACAAGATGTTCCCCTCTCTGCTGCCACAACTCATTTCATTCACAGAAATGAACAAGTCTAACAGTTGAATCTTATTTAACATTGGCATTGGAATAGTGTTCTGTCACAATTGGCTTATAGAACATAGGCTATGTGTCTAATTTCATGAAGAGCGTCTATCCTTTTGTCTTTTTATGAAAAACAAACTATTAGTGTATTTGTCTTCCTTGAATGAAGCAGTATGCCATTTCATTTGCCTGAATCATAACTAAGGAGATAAGCTAGCAAACATTTGTGTTTAAACTTGTGTTATCAGATTTTATGGAATCCTAAAAAAGCTTCAAGGTAGCCTCTCAACCTTTACTGAGTTACCAAAAGACCCTATAGTATCTATTGTTATACACAGCACATATGCTTTATTTAGTTATCTGTTAACACTTTTTGTCTTTATTTTGTATTTACTAAAGCAATTTCTTTAGCTGTCTCACTGAATTTCGCATTAAAAGGCAAGTCTTGTTTACCTCTCCCCCTTTTCTTTAAGGTTCATATCTCGTCCTCTTGCCGACAGTTGAACCAACTAGCTGTGCCACTACAGGAAGCCTTTGCCGAGGTAAGAAGCAACACTAGTCTGCCAAGTTAAAATTTATTGCTACCTTTTCTTTATTAGGCTTTAAGATTTAAATGGAAAGTGTGCAGAGGAGGAATATGTTGAGGCAGAAGTCAATAAACCAAACATGGAAGGAAAAGAAAAATAACTCATATGTTTTCTATTGCATATTTTAAATTTTGTAGGTAATCAACACTTCCAGTATAAAAGGCTATAGCCTATTTTCCCCCTTCATTCAGTTTGTTGCTATAGTATATTTCAGTGTCCTTTTTATTTTGATACAATGAGAGTATGAGCAAACTAATGGATCACAGCATTCTCCTTAAGAGTTATGCAGTGTTAGTTTAATTATATCAGTTAGTTAGCATGAACTGTGGTAATTTATCTTGATTCATGTTCTTAATTCATGTTTTATTTTGTATAGAAATTATACGTAGATTTTTCTGTAGGAGGATTTTATTTTATTTTTTTAGAAGAAAGAAGAAAACCTATATTATTTCCTCTATAGACCAAGCAGTTAGGAAAGCTTTTTCTTTTATTTTGGTCTCTCTTTTTTTTTGCTTTCTTATATTATGCTGCTCATAAAAATCAAACAAACATTATAAATATAACAGTCTTATATCTTTTTTCCCTTTTTTCTACTACTTTCTTTCTAGACTTTTAGTTTTGTTTCTTTATTTCTCCTTTTCTCTCTTTATGAATTTTCTTAATACTTTGGGTTATATTAGTTCTTAATATTGAAAAAGAAATAGGTTGTCATGACTGTTAGTTGAATATCTGTGGGCAGATAGTTCCAGATTTGAATTGCAAACAAGAGTTTGCCCATTTATTTTTACCATTGATTCCACATCACTGCTTATCTCTTTTAATATTTTGCAGTGAAAAGATAATATAGCATGAGGATTTCATTAATTTTCTGATTCATAATGACATGATTTGTGAGACAAGTCACCTAGCTGAAAAACCGTGTTCATACTTGTTGAATGCCTTAGTACAGTAGGCATTCAGAAAAAGTTATTAGATTTAATAATTTAACGTGTGTGTGTGTGACAGAGAAAGATTAAATAATGTACTAAATTATTTCAGTTAGAGGATGGTTTCAGCTATATTATCTGTGAAATGACCAGTGAAGAATTTTATTCTGAATGTTTGGAAAGTTGGTTTCTCTAGCATATATTTCTTTCACATTTCTGTTTTTGATTTAATCGTGAAGGCTTTACTACACTACAAATTAAGTGAAGAAAATGCTGACAGAATGCTGCTATGTACAGTTGTATCAGATATGGAATATAGTCAGATAGTAGTTGCAAGTCTGAATTGCAACTTAATTTTTATTAATGGGGTAGCTATATTCTGCTTCACTTGTCTTGTGTTGTGCGGTCCTGTCTTTGTGTGATGGGAATGTGAAATTTTTTGAAGATTAACAACTTTCTGTTATCCTAATCTAGCACTGAAAAAAATCTAATGGTGAGATTTAGGAGGTAGAAAGCAATTGTGAACATGAATTTGTGAAAGAAGTGGGATGGATGATGTACACCCAACAATTGTGCAATTCATGGAGCAACAGAACAACAGAATTGTGACTTTGGAGGCCTTCTAGTCCACCCCCCTGTTCAAGCAAGAAACCCTATACCATTTCAGTGGTTGTCCAATCCCTTCTTAAAAACCTCCAGTAATAGACAATCCACAAGCAAGCCATTTCACTTTCAACAATTAACTGTTCTGTCAGGACATTAATCCTTAGTTCTGATTAGTCCCTCCACTGTTTTTTATTCTGCCTTCAGGTGCTTTGGAGAATAGGTTGACACACACATCCTCTCTATTTTATAGCAACCACTAGATATTTGAACACTGCTATCATGTCACTTCTAGTCCTTCTTTTCCTTAAACTAGACATAACCCAATCCCTGCAACCATTATTCATATGTTTTAGCTTCCAGTCCTCTATTCATCTTTGTTGTGCTTGTCTGCATTCTTTATAGAGTTTCATCTGAAGAATACATCAGGTATGAGTAAGAAGAGATTGTGTGAATTGATTCAGTTTTTGTCTGAACAACTGCTGGTATAGCAGGGACTGTTGCAAAACTATGAATTATGTCAGCATTTATCAAGCTGAAATCCAAAGGTCTATTTGTTGAATGTTATTGTAGAATAGAATTGGACCTACTTGTTTCAGCAGGATTTTCCAATAATATTTTAGCAGAAATGATTCAGAATTCTGGGAGTTGATCAGTATAGATCAGGCAGAGACTATGATTTCCAAATTCCTAATAAATTCTTACTATTGTTTTGAAATTTGAATTTCCAAGTTGCTGAATTTTTTAAATGTTAATGACAATTGGAATCTGCTTAATAGTTTCATCTGAAATTGAAATTTGATGGTTTCTTGTTATAGATTTTTTTTCAAATTCAGTTCAATCTATAAACATTCTCCCTTATTCTGCAGTTCATTTAATGTTATGCTACATACTTAATACTATGCTAAGATATTGCAACACCAATAATTCTGATAATTCTACAAAGTCTCAAAATTTGTCGCACTAATAATAAAAAAAAATAGTGTATGTAATCAGTCATCTCTACTTTTTCAAGTATTTCAACACAAGTATTTAAAGTCTACACATTTTGTGCTGTTTCTTTTCCTTTTCCCAGAAGAAAAAAATACTAATATAGGTTTAGAGGTAGACATTAGTCTAACCAAACTGAAAATGATTAAAGAGATTAGCTGCCATCTTCATTCCATAAACTGTTAACTGAGTCAATCTATAGGTTTATTTAAATTAAAAATGTATCTCTGCCAGCAGGTGAAATAGGCTTTTTGAAAACAGATTTTACTCAGAATGGATTTGAATGAGCATGGGTGAGAACATAGCTCAGTTCCCATTACTTTCTTTGAGGAATTATTTTAATGTCTTCCAATATGCCCTAAAGAAATCATCTCAGCCAAATTTCTGCAGTTTGGTTAATAGATGTCATTCAGGATAGACTATAGTCCTATCTACTATCATGACGCTAGGTGAAAAGCAAGTGTGCAACAATTCATTTTCCAGTCCCATCATTTTCTCTAAAATGTGAGGTTTTGTTCTCTTTTAATAAGGTCTGTTTCATTCTGAGCTTGCAGGGGGAAAATGTTTTGATTTCATGCAGTTCTGTAGTTCACACTATGAATAGGAATAGTTACTACACAAATATTACAGCAGTTATGTTTTTGACTTAGCTGTTTTTAATGCATTTTTCTCAAAAATATAGTCAAACTAACTTATTTTTTTTAACTAGAATGTGTCATCTAGATGAGCATACATCTGTTTTTGAATATTTCCAGTCGTGAGTGGTACTCTCTGATTGCCAATACAAAAGACTTCTGAAGTTGAGGCAACTTGAAAATGTAATCTTGTTGTGGCCATTATGCAGGCATTAATCAGAAGCTGACACAGTTGGCTGATAGATGCAGGGCAAAATTTATGCTATTTATAAAGGCTCCTTTTGTCATTAAGAGAATATTATTTTGAATTTTTATGCTCACAGGTGGACTATGCTGTACTTCATTTCAAACAAGTAGTCTTGTTCAGCTGGCAGGTTTGATACTAAATTTACAAGTCAATGGCTCACTTGCAAGTCAATGGCTCACTAGGATTGAAATATTTGATTTATTAACTAATGAAAGATGTTGCTTGTATAGTATACTGTAGCAAAACTCTGAGGTTAAATTCATGTTATTTTCATTTTTTTAAAAAAAGAATGCAATCATAAATTTTAGCAAAATTCACATAATTCAAATAAAATTACAATCCATATTCATTCAATTCATCTCCATTATAGTCAACAGCATTATTTCTCAACATCTGCATTAGTATCTTTGTTGCAGCCATTGCAAAGAAGCAGTTTGTTTTGTAGCACATTTGTCTATATTGGTCAGTAGGAAATAGTGTATAGTAATTTATGTAATTCATCAGTTCCTGATTTGATTTTAAAAAACGTGATAAATTTTAAGCATGAATTCACCCATACGCTATTGTTAAATTATTTGTGTGGCATTGTTTTGTCAAATGTTTCAGGTGAACAAATGAGACTTGTTTAAAAATATAATTAGAAATTTGAAAAGAATATATGTGTGATTTATGTTTTATGTGGATCCAGTCACTTAAAAGTCATTTTGTCTGTTTGTTTTTTCATGTATTCCTATTTTGCCTGACCTTATTAACATTCATATTCCATATACGTTCAATTATTTTTCATCTTTGTTACCAGCTACTGTAAGTTCAACCACTCCATCACCCACTGTTACCACTAACATGCCTGATACTAACAGAACCGATAAAATAATGGATGGTAAGAAATTTAATGTTATATTTTCTTTGATTATATTACATCATTTTATCTTTTGAGCATACTTGCATTATATATGAGTGTCAGATTTTGTTTCAGCAAACGCTGTTTTAAGAGGTTTGTGTCAAATAACAATTTTGGATAAGCAAAATTTCCTGTGCAGAAGGAAGGTTTTCTAAAATATTTCATGTTTCTGTTATGATTCTTTTTGTTAATCTTCAAATGTAAAGGTTTTACAAAAGCAATCTTAATGTAGTTCTCTGTAGGAGTGGTTATCCAGACCACCCCTGGGGCTATATACAATTATTCACATACTTCTATTAGGATCATTAATTCAAGTAACTTCATTAAGAATAATCCAAATCCATTTGAAAGTGGTTGTTCCTGCAATATTCAAGAGACCCTGATAACGTAAGAATATATTTTAAGAAATATACAGATTGGAGAAGAAAGGACCAAGATGTGTCTCTTAGTTTGTCTATTCTTGCTTTAAAACATTGTCAGATTCTGGAATTGAGTATTTTCAATTTCAACACCAATGAAATAAAAATTAGTTGCAGAATTAGAAAGAAAGAAACAAACAGCTATTTAGTTACAAGGGTGAGCCAGGATAGAGCATAACTTGGGGTGTGTATGGTGTAAGAATAGAAACGTTTCACAGATGCTAGATAATGTAATATAATGCATGACCAGGACAGTGGTGGGTTTCAAAAATTTTTAGAACCTCTTCTGTAGGTGTGGCCTGCTTTGTGGGAGTGGCTTGCTGGCCATGTAACCGGGTGGGTGTTGCCAGTTTGTAAAATGTGGTGAAACACTTAACAATGCTCTTGCTTAGCAACCAAAATGTTGGCTCAGAAACTCTGGCATTTGAAGCACGTAAGTCTTAAAGCTGTCAAGTTTCAAAACCCTTGCACCCCTAATCCTTTAGAAAAAAAATCCAGGGGTGTTCAAACTTGACAGCTTTAAGACATGTGGACTTCAACTCCCAGAATTCCTCCTCTCGCTCTTCATCTTGATGATGTGCGGATGGGTGGGGGGAGGGAACTGGAACCAGTTCTAAACAACACTGTAGATTTGTGAAATCTCTTCTATAGAAGAGGTTAGAATTGGCAGGAACCCATCCCTGGACCAGGAGCTCATTTAAAGAGAATTCTGTGTCTTCATGCACAATCAGTAATAATGAATAGAATAAAAGTTTGATCAGACAAAGAACAGGAGTGAAGTTTATATTTCTGTCTCCTGTACGCATTTTGAAAAATTTAAGTCAGTGGAACCAGTTTTGTATAATGAACTGTTTAAGAATAAATTGCCTAACTTTCTTGTTTAAATTTTGCATATCAAAACTCAGTCTATATAGTGCAGTTCCTACTGAAATAAGTGATTTCTTCAAACTCAATCTTTGAGCTGTATTTGATGTCAAAGTAATTTCCTTAAGTAACGTTTTTCATTTATTAATTGAATGACTTACTGTATACAGTCCTGCAGGAAATGAAAAGTCCTGCTACAGTCGTCTTCAGAATCAAGAGAAATTCAGCTCAACCTATTCAACATTGGCAGGAAGATTCTAAGATAAGAGGCATCAAAAACATAGGAATTATATCAACCCCAATAGTTTGGCCTGTAAAACAGAGGCCTTTACACACCAGTAAATTTTCAATAACAGAAAGAAAAAGTGCACCCAGTTACTTCATCACAATAACTCCTGAAGTGATACCATCTGCTTCTAGAGAAATGCAAATTAACAGCTTGGGGCCTTTCACAAACATAAATTATAATTCTTCCACTGAGGTGTCATACTTTAATAACATCTCAGGACATTCTGAGAATGTGTTAAGTGAGAGTAGTATTTCACAGGAAACACCAACTCTCCCATTTGATCATGTCAGGAATTTAGGATTCCATGTTCAACAAGGTAGAAGTGTTGAAATAGAAGATTCTAGATCAAACTTACTGTTTCCTTCACTGGTGAACAAGAACACTTTTTTTGAACTTACAGAAGACCCTCAATGGATGCTACCTCCTATTAGTTACACATTTTTGTCTGTGTATAAGCACGCTAACAATTTCTTGCAGTCTTTGAGTACATGGAAGGAAAATGCAACTTATGACTATTTTATTTCCAGAATGCCAGAAGAAAATCTTTCTTCTCTTGTTCATCAATATTATCCTAAGGAATTAGTTAAAGAAACAATGCTTGGCTTACTAAACAAATCACTTGAAAATGTCTACTTGCAGCCCACAAAGAGATTTCTACAAGAGGTTTCTCTTAGGAATGCCCTTTACATTGTAGATGACTTGCAGACTACAAAATTAAATCACATAAGAGACTATAATTCAGTATATTTTAAAAAACAACTGTTTAAATACAGCACAAATCCTTCTGGTTCATTACAAAACATGAAGGCCTGGTTTCCAGATGTTATGCCTAGAATCCATCCAACAGAAGTCTTCATGTCAGTGGAATATAGTAGGGAATTACATTTATCATCAGGGTTACCAAAAACAAGAGGCAGAAATTCTGAAATTCAGCGAACTGTTTCTGTTTCGCCTTTATATCAAGAAACATACAATAGAGCTTTTTTTAAAAGTGACTTTTTTGCATTTAATCCTCTAACTGAGCAGTTAGTTAATTTAGAAGAACAGGAAGGTTCATCTCTAGAAGATGAATTTGAACTTCCAGATAAGTTAATTTCTTACAATAATGATGTATCTTCTTTTTCATTTCTATTGGAAGATGTCAAGTCAAAGTCAAAATTGATGTCTGGAGCAGGATATGTAGAAAATAATGTTTCTAGCAGTCCATATAATGACATTTCTTTTCTTACAATTAATGATGTAAGTTTTCCAACACAGTACATAAATACATCCTTTTGGACTATGGTTAATGATTCTCCAGAATCTCCCGGAAGATGGTTGTCCTTATTTAATCAATCATATTCTTCCCTTATGGAGACAATGTCTTTTTTCATGCCTCCTACACAAATAGAAGATATCACCATGCAAACAGTTCCTTACAATAGACTAATAGGCAGTAATGTTTCAAAGTTATATATTTTTACTAATGCGTCAGAAGAGAATCTTAGTTCAGTTTTTGCAATATACTCATCAAGGAATTCAGATGTTATTGAGAGAACAGCAACAAAATCAGATCATCTTCTTACCAAAAATGGATCCGTAAATGATATTTCAGCTATTCATGTTCCTTTAACTTCCCAGATAACACCTTTGATTCAGCCTTCCTTGCATTTACAGATTAGTACTTATGATATATTACAAGGATTTATTGATGATTTAAAAATTACTGCCAATTTAGCCATGCAACAGACTACGGAGAAAATCCCAGATGATCAACTAATAACTTTTTCCCCATCTGCTGAAAGATCAGCAACACCATTTTTTGAATCTTCCTGTATAGAAGATACCTGCAAAGTTTTATCATTAAGTCCAGTACATTTTAAGGAAATGACACATAATATATATACAGACTTACAGATTAGTCAGTTTACAAGTGCTTCTGATTATATGAAAAATTCAGCGCATTCACTTATGAATAATGCTTTTTTTGAAATACAACATGCACAAATATCTGATTTCTTTATAAGGACATTGCCTTTAGATATACTGCCTACTAATAGTCATGGAACAATTGCACAGTTTGGCAAACATTCAGCAGCTTTAATGATTTCAGACACTTCAGTTTCATGGAATCCTCTAAATAACTTTGATCAACATTTGCTTGATTCAGAATATTTGTGGAACAAAAAGCCAGTTCAGGAAACAAGCACTTCGAATAAAACATACATTTCTGAAAATGAACATGATTCAAACAATTTGGAAAGCAAAGACACACTACTTCTTCAACCTGGTCATGTGGAAGAGTTTGGTGATATGGATCACAAAAATATTGATACAAAAATAAAAGTGACTGTTTCAAAACAGGAACCAGTTGTTTGGCAAGTGCATCACAGTTCTAGCAAGTCTGTTGAAGATCCCATTAAAAAAGGATTGTCATCTTTGAATCCAAGTAATGTTAATCTGACTGAGTTTTATGACCAGACAATTTCTTCATCTTTTGAAGACTTGAAATATGAAACAATAGCAAACTATTCTTACTTTTTGGAACAAGCCACAATTTCAGTAGTTACTGATGTCATGGTCCAATCTTCCTTGTTGAATGAATCTATTCAGTATTTTGATGAAAATGTATCAAACAGTGGAATGATATCCCATAATCACAACTCAGAAGTTCAAAACACAGTTGATATATCAGTTCATCAAACTGCGCTGACCAATATAGCACCAGAAGCAAATCAAAGTATTGTGTTCAGAACAACGTTGACTCCCAGCAGCAAATATCTTTTGACTTATTTTCTATGTAATTCCTTCATGAACCAGAACTGCCCATGTGGACCTGAGGTCAAACACAGTAGGTCAAAACATGAAGCTAGATGTAGAATGAAAAATGTCTTATCTGTTAGATGTATAAATAGAGTTTAGAATTACTGGTGCTAATGTAGATTTCATGCTTAGCTATAGAAGCACGAAAACCATAGAAATTTAGTAGAAATGCATTTATACCACACTAAAGTGATCAATGATCAAAGTGTAGAACTTTAGCAAATGATTCTAATCACTATCATTCCATTTACTAATTCAAGATCTTTGAGGAGACTATTGTGACAATCAAATTAACTCTTTCTCCTGTTCAGTGGAGATTGTTTAGTAAAAATCTAATGAAGATAAATAATTACAGTTTGAGCAGAAAATATGAGACAGAAATCATATCAAATTATCTTCTCCATGTGAGGATAGTTCTGTTCTCCTACTTCTATCCATGGAGATGCTTTCTTCTGAACCAAAAGATGCAATCTCTGTGTATCTCTTTCTCTATTTTATGTCTTGCTACCTATAAAGAAAAAAGACATTGAATCTACTGAAGTGTTGTTGATTTTTAAACTGAATATCCAACCAAATGATCAGGAGAAATCACTGCCTAATTATTTTTAAGTATATTTAAATTAAAAAAAACAATTTTGCTTGTTTACTGTGCAGATTATCTAAGTATTTTGAAACAGTGATCTTAAAAAAATAATATATACATTCAATGGAAAGTATGTTTTGAATTCTTTTAATATCGTCAGTTGATAGTCTCCTGAGAGTAAAACAAAGTTATAGTTCTTCATACTAACCTCAAGAAAACATGTTTTCACTCATTATTCAGAAGTGGTAGATTTGAATTAGCTCTGCTATTTAGAGACAGTAGAGTTTTCCTAGTCAGTGTTACAAAAAATAAACGGTATTTTCACAAAGCACCTAAATAATTTGTTTCTAGAAAGATATACTATAAAAGAGATTTTGTGTTCATAGAAAATTGGTTCACACATATTTATGGCATATATATATATGTCCAAATGAGTTGAAGTGTTAATGAGATCATGGATTATTCATGCTAATGAATATGTCAATTCATACCAGCAATGGTGATATATAATTAAATAGTTAAATAGCTATCGTCCAGTCTCCAACCTCCCCTTTGTAGGGAAGGTTGTTGAGAAAGTGGTGGCCTCCCAGCTCCGGCGGTCCTTGGATGAAACCGATTATCTAGACTCCTTTCAGTCTGGATTCAGGCCTGGCTACAGCACGGAAACTGCTTTGATCGCACTGACCGATGATCTCTGGAGAGCTAGGGACGGGGCCTTGCCTCCGTCCTAGTGCTCCTTGACCTCTCAGCGGCCTTCGATCCCATCGACCATGGTATCCTTCTGCGACGGTTGCAAGAGGTGGGGGTGGGAGGCACCGTTCTCCGGTGGTTCTCCTCCTACCTCTCGGACAGGTCGCAGTTGGTGTTGGTTGGAGGGCAGAGGTCAACCCCTAGGCCCCCTAGGCCCCTTAAGTATGGGGTGCCGCAGGGTTCGGTC